TATTTCATCACTGTGATTTTTCTTTAAATAAGTGATTTTTTTCCATATTTATTTTAATCTTAGCATAAAAAGAGAGTTTTAGTGATTTTCTAGCGTGGCTGTCGACATGTACACATCTCCGATAGCATAGTTGTCATAAATCCATACACTGACCAAATATATGTTTTAAAAGTTAAAATCCAACAGAAACTAGAACTATACTGAGAAGTTAATTATTTTTTAATGCATTTGCTGCAATTAAAAAAAAAAAAACACGGAATACAGCAAAACCCGTTTCGATATGCACGCATACAGGTCGAGAATAGGCATCGAACGCAGTGATAAAGATATTTACCTGTATACTGCTATCGCTACAGGGATGTGCACATGTCGAAAAAAAAATCCTATTTTACTTTTATTGAAATATGAATCTCAGAAGTCATGTTATCCATTGCTAACCGAACAGTAAAAAATTGTCACCACATAGCACTTACACACGTGGTCCACGACGATCGGTATATTTGGTCAGGGGATATTTCAAAGGTGGAAAGCTTACTATTATTATTGTTGATTGAAAAAAAGCAAATCCTTTTCTTTTCAAAAATAGATATTACTCTTGTCTGTATTTGTAAATGTAAACAAAATTTATAAACATGGCTTAACTACATTAAATTTATTTTTCTTGCATGCAATGTTACAACGCACTTTGAAAAATTACGCACTTTGAAAAAAAAATTTCAAAGTGTGTTAAATTTTGGGACCAAGTCAACACACTTTGAAAAAATAAAATTTCTTTTCAAAGTGGGTTAACATGGACCATATTAACGCACTTTGAAAAACTGTGTGTGGATTTGTCAATATTCCTGCAAATCTTAGGTAAGATAAATAATTTAACCTGTTTGATAATTCTTCTCTGAAGAGGTCACTTCAGGATGTGAAAGTGAGCGATTTAGATTTTTCCATACTTTGAAAATTCTTTCTTGCTTAAATACTGTACTGTACTTGATTTTTTTCAAGTTTGCATGCATTTTATGTAAACTTAAATTTATTGAAAGTTTTCAACGTCATACCAGTTATGTAAACACATATTTTTGGGTGTAGCATTGGCATCAGTACCGGAAAGGGGGGTTACATAAAGGCATATAAATATTTTTAAAAGATATACATAATATATACATGTATGCATTAAAAATTGGGGCTTACCTGTGGGGTCAACTTTAAATTTGCTACCGACGGCTATGTACAATATTTAAGAAAAACAGAGTTGGGATGAGAGACCTTCTACTCGTCTTCTCCTTGTTCTCAATGAGGTTAAATGAGTTCATGTAAATTTTAAAAAAGTTTTTCGAAAGATATAATTATTACAATTTTATTTCCTCTATTACTAAAATCTAAGTCTAGAATTTTTATTTTCATACATATCTTTTTTTCAAAGTGCGTTAAATGGCTTCATGGTAAAAAATGTTTATGTGCATTCTTAACGCACTTTGAAAAAATATTTCAAAGTGCGTTGAGTGTGTCCAAAATTTAACGCACTTTGAAAAAATTTACGCACTTTGAAAAAAATTTTCAAAGTGCGTAATTTTTTCAAAGTACGTTGCCACAATGCAACCTTACGAATCATTCATCCTTTGTCGAGATTTTTCCGTGAAAAAGGGGGGGGGGGTAAAAAAATTGCATAATGCTCTCTGAAAAAGATTGGATTTTATTACGATAAAACATTTCATTTTAGATACTGTGTATTGGTTTTTCTGTAATATAGAATATAGATATTTTTACGTCTAATAAATATTATTTGAAGAAATAAAAAAAAAATCTCTGTCCTTTCTGTTTGCTAGAACTGTAGATTTTCACTGATTTGCTTTCCCTCGTGTACCTTCAATCATTTTTAATCATATATTTGAATATCCTTACCATTTTACAATAGTATACAGAGACCACAAAAATATATAGGTGATTTTATACATAACAGTAGATCAATAAAGCATGCGTGAATAAAAAACTAAACCAAAAAAATTGTACGTTGCTATTAATGTAAATATGGGAATTTAGGCCGGACGCTTATTTTATTTTTTTTTCTTAATAATTTAATACGAGCACAATTATTTTCAGAAAATTGTATATTGTAATTCATATTGTGTTTAAAATTAATTACATTCTGAATTTTTTATGCTTTTTTCTGTTAAGCAAAGCATTCTTTCTAAAAGTAGCGAGCTGCACTTTAGCATGTTTATAATGAAACTCATCTCCGAGTTCATTCGGGGACAAATTCTATCTCGTCTTGGTTACCCTGGCTAAGGGCTCCAATCACCCAAAAGTAACGTGCGAGAAAGATGCCAGCGAATTTTTGGGCCATCTTCAGAAGTAACTAACATGCATGCAAGTATGCATGAAATATTTCGATTCAGTGAAGATAAAGCTTTAAAATGATCCCGTAGTATGCAGATGCATGGGGGGGGGGGGGTTTCACTTTTTCTGAGAATAATCTTCTGCTGCAGTTTTAGATAATATTTTGATTTGGAAGCTCCCTTCACATTTTTTGTTGCTGGAAAATACGCAGATCCAAGCTTTGAAAAGTAATGCACCAAACAGAAATGATACAGGAAGCCCCCCCCCCCCCCCCTCTATCCCCTCCAAAAAGATTTTAAAGTGTGGTGCTTAGGTATTTTTTGTTGTTGTTGTTTGTTTCTTTGTGTGTGTGTTTTTTTTTTTGGCTTGTCAACTGGGTCAGAACCCCCCGCCCCCCTCCCCCGGCATTTGTAAGGTTATTAAAGTTATATACTAAAGCAAGAAAAAAGTTACGTTGGACAGCACCCCACCCCCTCGGAAAACGCAGAGTCCTTGGTAAACGCGAATTTGTGTTAAATTGGTATGAAAAGTCTAAGGTAGGAAGCATTAGAAGTTTGGGTTTATTTTCTTGTCAAAAGTAAAATTATTATTTCAATTTTTGAGCAAATTTCGACATCCCCGCCTGAAAAAATCCATGCTCTCTCCCAGTATCTAATAAATGGTACAGCACAAATTGCATATGATTTTATATCTACTATTGCGGTTACGGATGGTTACGAGAGAGAGAGGGAGAGAGTTCAATGAATAAAAGAGTAATTAAAAATTATATATTCAACCAGGTCTCAAGTATCATTTCCTTAGATTTTAAAAATATCTCCCAAATATTGCAACAGAAATTATTTCTAATTTTAAAAAAGCTAGACTGTCAGACAGGGATACTGAAAGACTTCCTGTAATAATAATAAAACAGCCGAATCCCGCAAAAAATGTACATACTTTGTGGTCGGAGTGAGACAATTAAAAATCTCAAAAATGGATTATGGCAGGAATGTCTGTCTTCCAAGAATATTTTGGTAACGGTCATGTCAATTATTTCTGCCCCCCCCCCCCCCTTAAAAATACAAATGCCTAGAAATATCAATCTAAACAGGGGATTTTTTTCGCGCGTGTATCAAAAAACGTACAGATGTACACAAAAAATTTAGCATTCTGGTTAAATGCCGTTAAGTCTTGAACAAAATAATTATTATCTGATATCACATTGCTTGGTTTAGATTTGAGATTAGTATACTAAGATAATCAGTTGTAATTGACAAATGAGTTTTGCGATGGAAAACAACTGCAGACTATATAAATGTTTATTAGAACTAGATAGACAATGTTTAGCTATACGTGTACCTTATGAAGCCGTAATAATTATACCTTAGCCACCCTCCTCCCCACCTTTAGCCGCGCAAATATCAAATAACTTTTCTTTTCCACTTTTGATATTTTCCTTGACCAAAATCTGATCAGCACGGACTGAGTCAGTGAGTGTTTCGATGTGCCAGGCTGTACGGATTGGTAACAGTGTCTTTAATTTTGAGTTTTTATGGAGTTTATTTCTTTTTTGTGATTCATATTTCAAAAAATGGAATTCAGGGTGTATATCAATTGACTTGTGCACATCTTCGAACCGGTGCAGTGATCTTATTACCAGGTATGGGTACGTGTACAGCGTTCGACGCGTTTTCTCGACATGCATCCAAGTCTGCATAAAACCTGCAAATCTAAGACGCCGTTTGTTTTGATCCATTCAAATGATAATTTCAAAGTGTGTTTTCGGGTTTTAGTACTTTTTATTTCATGTGTATTCTGCATAAATTGGCGCAGTGAAAAAAATGCGTATTCCTGCAACTATTTTTTTTTCAAACTTGCATTTTCTTTCCTTTTTTTTAATTACATTTGATTCAAATCAATAATTATTAAAAAAAAAAATATGATTATTATGTTGTTTGTGGTGATTTTGAAATGTCTTGATCAACCCATGTATTTACAAATGATTTACCTTGTAGATGTGCACAAGTTAATAGCCAAGACAAAAAATCATTCAAGTGTAACGAGGGCATTGGGATATATATCGTTACAATAAGACAAGGTGTCTGGAAGAAATATGGCGGAATAAGGCTATAATTTGTTTGAAAAAAGTCGTACATAGATGAAAAGTAGCGTTTTTACGAATTCATGTTAGCTTTAGATACTAGTCTGTCAACCTTCAAGGGCAAGGTCACGGGGTAAAAAAATATAGTGTATTTAGAAAGGTGTTATCATAGGTTATGTACACGTATATTATGAAAGTCCTGTCTCTTCTAATTTAAAAGAAATAGCCAAGGTTAAAGTTTCTGTGACGGACGGACAGTGGGAGAAACGAATTACATTTAATGTGCCTTTGCTTTTGCGAAAGCGGAAAAAATTATACAGGAATGTCGGAATATAAATCACTTTTGTAAACATGTAGAAAGGAAAAATATATAAATATATAAGGATGTAATAATTATTGTTTGAAAGATGCCATCTTTGTGTGCCACAAAAAAAAAATAATTAAAAAAATGCAAATAGAAGGCATTTAACGAGCGTTAGTCATTTTATTTGCATGCACCATTACAGTAAGGGAATCTGTCAATACATAATAATTCGGTGTTAAAACATTTTAATGTTTTTAACACGAATACATTTTAACCGTTTCATTGCAGATTATCCTAGCAAAACGCCCAAAGACAAATGTAGACACAGACCCTCTTTGTACTTCTGTAAGTAATCAGGATTTGTCTGGGGATGAAAATGGACGTCTGGATTCCGGAAACAATAAAGGTATATGAAATATATTAAACCATGATAAATTATTATATGTAATTATTTAGATGAATGAATACCTATTTTAAGTACTTTTATGATATATTTTAAAGTCGTTCATACAAAACAGTAATATGTTTCAACTTTATGATGTATAGTTTTTAATGATAGACCAAAAAATATTATATAAATGTCTTTTTACATGCACAGAATCGAGATAAGAATTTAATTAACGTGTTTGACTAGATAAATTGACGTAACAGGTGTTTGTGTTTGCAATTCTTTGATATTTTATGTAAACAATTCACATTTGAAACTACATAACTACGATCTCTTTCTGTGAAATAGAACAAACTGTAAATTGAAAGCATATCAGTACATATATTGCTTTTTTAAAATTCATTTTGTTGTTCACAATTTAATTAGTAAGTGTAGTACTTTATGAAGATGTTTTTCATTTCAGCATTAACAAATATTTTTTTATGTATTACACAGATCCATTATCGGGATTGACAAGGGAGCAGCGCGTCGTTCTCTACACTTTGTTCTTATATCAGGTGTGGAGGGGTGACGTCTCTATAAGTGACGCCGACTACATGGGTGACATTGATATCATGACGATATTGAAGGAGCTAGAGAACAAAGGACTGCTGGAACAGTATTCCTTTCAGATGATTCCACTTGATAAACTATCTATGTACCACATCCCAGATGATAAACAATCTATGATAATGAAATCCTACAGTGAAAACTGTCTTCTGAGTGAGATAGACAAGGACTTCTTCATACAGGTAGCCTCAGATGAATCCATAGAAATATATTCTAGAATGTACTATCGTCATGGAGATGGTCCCAGAGACATCGGTCCTATAACAGCGACAAGACTGATTGTGGAGGGTCGTGGACACGGATTACCTTATTCTGTAAAAGGTACATGTACAATGTACATATGTTTGTTTGATAAATCATATCATTGTTATATAATTCTAATTTATTTTCTTTTTTTTAATATTTCATATTATAGAAAAAAATAAGTTATATCATTTTCTTTCAACATGAATTAAGAATTGATTCCATATACATATAAGATACGAGGTTTGTCTCGTAAAATCGTGGACAAGTTGTCTAGCATGAATGATAATCATCACTGCTTTCTGAAATTTTTTCACTACTTCTTACTACATATTTCCTGAATAAATAAAGCAAATTTCAAATATATATATGCATAAATAAACGAATTATGAGATTTAATATCATGCATTGTATCACCTTACGGCGTACGGATGATAACGTCAAAGTGCCTATAACAGCGTCAGGTACCTCAAGTTTCATCCTTGCACTAAAAATTAAGTTGGAAAAGTCCCACTTAAATTTCGGAATTTCATTGAAGCACTTAAATCTCCATAAACAATTTAGGAACCAATGTAGCAAAAATGTACGATCTTCTGATGATTTATTGGTAAGATACGGATAATATTCCAACATCATTCAACTAACAGACAATCATATTGATGCGGTCTACATTGATAGCGTCTTTAGCTATTACAAATTGTAGTTTGTTTGTATGTCTTGTACTACCTCAGGACTCGATCAAGAAAGACTTTCCTCAGAGAGTCCGTCGGTCCACTTAGTTTCCGTTCATTTTCTTCGCAACCGTTGCACATACTGAAATGAAATTTGGTATACAAATATATCACCTAAATATCCAGGTCAAGTTCTGTTTTGGGTGCGATCGCACATTTTTTGACAGAGTTATGCCCCTTGGACATAAAAAATATTCAATTATTTGTGAAATGAAAATTGGTATACAGATATATCACATGAATATCTAGATCAAGTTCAGTTTTGGGTACGATCGCACCATTTTTGACAGAGTTATGTCCCTTGGACTCAGAAAAATTTCAATGATTTGCTGTTTCCGTTCATTTTCTTTGCAACTGTTGTACATACTGAAATTTAATTTGGTATACAGATATATCGCATTAGTATCTAGGCCAAGTTCTGTTTTGGGTACGATCGCACCATTTTTGACAGAGTTATGCCCCTTGGACCTGGAAAAATTACAATGATTTGCTGTTTCCGTTCATTTTCTTTACAACTGTTGTACATACTGAAATGAAATTAGGTATACAGATATATCACATGTGTATCTAGGCCAAGTTGTGTTTTCGGTACGATCGCACCATTTTTGACAGAGTTATGCCCCTTGGACTTGGAAAAATTACAATGATTTGCTGTTTCCGTTCATTTTCTTTGCAACTGTTGTACATACTGAAATAAAATTAGGTACACAGATATATCACATGTGTATCTAGGCCAAGTTGTGTTTTCGGTACGATCGCGCCATTTTTGACAGAGTTATGCCCCTTGGACATGGAAATATTCCAATTAGGGGGAGGGGGGCATAATTTCAAATTATTTTCAAATTTCAATTTCAAATTATTTGCCGTTTCCGTTCATTTTCTTTGCAACCGTTTAAAATACTGAAATGAAAATTGGTATACAGATATATCATATGAATATCTAAGTCAAGTTCTGTTTTGGGTACGATCACACCATTTTTTACAGAGTTATGCCCCTTGGACTTGGAAATATTCCAATTAGGGGGAGGGGGGCATAAGTGTTTTACGAACATCTCTTGTTTTCTTCTATATTCACTTTAAGCTTTATAGGGTGCTATTACTCCATCTAAATCATAGCGAACTGATCTCCGGTGCACCGTTACGTCACCAAACGTCACCATATTTTGTGCGTTGTATTTACCACGCTCCCATTTCAAATGCTGAGGAAACTGTAAAAAATTGACCAAATGCATTGAAAATTTTAAGAAGACAACAATAAATAAATTGTGGAAGTGAATAAGGATAATTTTCACCCTAATATTATCTATTTAAATCTTTTTTTTTTTCAAATCAATACTCCTGTATTCTCTTATATATAATACCTTCGTTTTTGACCATGCGCCGTAGGGCCTTACCCTGTGCATATTCAAGCATTATAAAACTTAAATTTTTGTGTATATTTTATCCAAAACATTAAATTTGACAAATTAACATTCACTGAAAATTTCAGCTTATTATTTCCATTATTTTACGAGAAAAACGCTTTGTCCACGATTTTAAAGGACAACCCTCGTATATACATGAATTATCATTATGTACGTTTTCGTACACTGAGAACATAAGTAACGTTGAGTTTCGTTGGTCAAATATGTATGGTAGGATGTTCCTCTTTCTTAAATTATTAGCTCACCTGAGTCGAAGGTTCAACTGATTTTTTCTGATCAAAATTTTTCCGTCGTCTGTTGTTGTTGCTGTTGTCGTTGTTGTCGTAAACTTTTCACATTTTCATCTTCTCCTCAAGAACCACTGAACCGATTTCAACCAAACTTGCCACAAAGTATCCGTAGGTGAATCGAATTCGAGTTTGTTCAAATAAAGCGCAACGCCTTCACAAGGAGATAATTCAGAAATAGTGCAAACTTGATTCTATGTTTTAAAAATCTTCTTCTCAGGAACCTGTGGTAGGAAAGATGAGACTTATAGGGAAGCATCCTCATGTAGTGTAGATTCAAGTTTGTTAGAATCATGACCCCGTTAGGTAGGACGGGGCCACACTGGCCGTTCAAAGTTTCAAAAAGAAACATATAGGAAAATCTTCTCTGGAATAGCAGAGGCATGAGATCATATTTTATGGAAGCATCCTCAGATAGTGGACATTCATGTTTATTCAAATCATCACCACTGGGGGTAGGGCAGGGCCACAACATAGAATCCAAGTTTAACATAGACATATGTAGAAAGAATCTTTAAAAATCTTCTTTTCAGGAATAGCAAAGCCACGATTAGTCCTATTCATAGTGTAGATTCAATTGTGTTCCAGTCACAGCCCCTGGTGGTAGGATAGAGCCACAATGTAGGTTCAAATATAAAGGGTAATAACGTTACAGGTAGTCAAAGAGATAAATATGCAAGCATCCTTAGCTAGTGTAGATTCAAGTTAGTTCAAGCCTTACCCTCTCCCTTTTAAGGATTGGTTTAGACCACTTTTGGGTTTTAACTTTTAAAAAATAAATTGATTTATGTTTTTTCCTAGCTACATTGCTCAGGTGAGCGATGTGGTCCATGGGCCTCTTGTCTGTGAATAATATTTCAAATGCTGCTCCTCCTACAGTGTTTGTAAGAAGTATAGTCTTAACATCCAGACATGTCTTCAACTTATTAGAACCCGACACTCTTAATGAAGCATTTGCTCAGATGCTCATTTGTTAAGTTAATAAAGAGTGTGTCGGCAGTATTGATAGCACATGTCATTATATAATTGTGATACGGTCTGCCATCATCAGGGGTCCACTGTATGTATAAATCAATCAATTTTTTTAAAACTTCATTTGATTTTAATTTGGATCTAATGATAAGATCGCCAATATTCTTGTGTTTGTTGTATGCCACCATAGGGGGTGTTGTGAATAATTCTTTGCATACATCGTCATCTAGTAGGGTGAGTTCACCATGCATCGGACACATACCTTGCTTCGGACAACTTTAGGCAATAAACTATCTTTCAACTTAAGACTTCTGTGTATTTATTTGTTTCTGTCATAAAGACGAAGATTTAAATTTTTTAATGATACCGATTGTGTTTATCATGTTGTGATAAAAATACCACGCAAATGGCCTTGAAGTTACGTCATATTTTTACATCATCTAAGGGGAATAACCCGAAATTTATGATTTTGCAATTTTTAGAGTTATCGTTCTTTTAAATTCGACTTCCACGGAACGAGTCGGACTTTGGTGAATTTTGTCAGGGATTGGTAATTTTACATAAATTATAATTAAATTTCACTTCAATGTTTGTTTAATTCTTATTAGAGCTGGTTTTTACTAGTATGCTATTTTCACCGTACATCGGACACAAATTAACCATGCATCGGACACTTTTCGATGCAAAGGTAAGCACTACCATTTTCATACAGAACCCAGCTGACAGCTGTTTTTTGCGGAAAAAGAAAATAAAAACTCTAAATTTTCAGTCAAAATACAAGTTATCGATATTTGACGTCTGGAAATTTACTCAATTTATTTCAACAAACCAGAGTATGATAAACCATGAGAAAAAGGCGCGAATTACGGCATTATAAGCATTTTAGAGCAATTCTTAGGCAGAGTGAGGTATCGAGAATCATTCTACATTTGTGCATAAATATCGTCGATTAAATTAAAGTTGAGGGTTATTTCTCAGATAAAAGATGAAAATATATGTATATCAAGGATTTTAAAGCACTGTGATAAAGGTATGATATTTTTTCGGTCTCCATACCGTCTGTCCGATGCATGGTGAACAATGTCCGATCCATGGTGAATTTTCAGTTTTTTCTAAAAACTCGATTTTCGGGGATATTTTCTCAAAAAAGGCATATAATTGTGTCCTAAATTGTTATTTTAATCACAAACTAAATGTTAAACTCCATTTTGATAATTTTCCGTCGGTAGCGATATCGCTAGAACTTGTTGAAGTACAAAGGTATCCGATGCATGGTGAATTCACCCTATGTAGTTCCAATATTTCTTAAGTCGTTTCCTTAACCCCTTTATACATGGGTTAGACCTCTAAACCATTATAACTCCTTGTGTTTGATTCTTGAGGAGCTTTTTAAAGAGAAATATTATATCAGGGATAAATCTATACCTCGGCCTTCATTGTGTACTGTAACTAATTTTAAATTTAGATTTTGCTAAACATTATTTCCGGCCATGGAGTATTATAATTGAGTCTTGTATAGTTTCTTTAATAAATTAGTTTGTGGTTCATTCATATATATTTCTTGAGGAGGCGTCCGATATCACTCTTGTAAGATTTTCTGGCATGCATTTCGATATTGAGAAAGATTGCAAAATCGTATAATCTACAGAAAAGACACCCCAAAA